TAAACTGCTAAACCTACTTGGAGTGATTAAAATTTCAGAGATTCGGTTAGAATGGCTCACCAAGATCTCCTCACTCAGATAAAGCAGAAAAAAGTTTTTATTTTTATTTTTTATCAGGTTGAATGACATCAGGCTTTCGTTGTCGCGGTTTAACTATCGTTGAATCTCCAATTCGTGATGTGAATCGTTTTTTGAGACGCTGAAAACGAAATAATCTAATCATATTGTTGTGAATGTCGCATTACTTGTCTATTCACTTACCTGGTAAAGTTTAATGAAAAGATCTCGATAGTATTTTGTCACAAAAAGAACGATGAGACAATTGCCGGAAGAATGCAAAGTGGTTATTATTAGTGCATAGGAAAAAATGTTGTCTGAAAAGGAACCGTATAAATAGGGGTTTTAAATACTTACTTGTTTGCTTATCTTGAGCAAGTATTGATAAAACTATTATGATCCAAGGCAGAACACATATTGTTGCCAAAAAGACTATCTATATGTTTTTGATGACTCTTTTTTTACAATTAGTTTGAGTGAGGTTTTAACTAGGGAATTTTGTCAAGTCTATATCGGGTTTTCACATGAGCCTTGGCCCATCTAATAGAGTTTTCCTCGAGGATTCTGCTTAGTTCTACCGGAACGCCTCTGTAACACGAGATATTTGGCATACAAAATTTGGCTTTGATTTACAAGCTTTACTCATTACTTGTTCCCTTCTGCCTTCTGGCTAGAGAAGTGTTTCGAAAAAACTAAAAGCAGATTCAGAATCCTTGATAAAAAGTCTATCAGATGTGCCAAGGCTCATGTGAAGACTCGATCTTGACTTGACAACATTCCCTAGTAAGATTATCGAATAGATCTGTGAACACCAAATCGGCCGGTCGTTCCCTTTTTGAAACCTAGAGGTCGAGATGAAATTTGCAAGAACGAAACAAAGGTGAAAAATTCTATCGAAGATAATTTCTATCAACTTCATCGCCTCTAGACAGCCCGACTTTGCTGGAGGGATCGAAAAACTGGCTACTCGTTGGCAAAAGTGTATTGATTCTAACGGTTGTTATTTTGATTACTTTGATTTTTTTTAGTTTTAGCAATTGGAAATCATTAAGAAAAAATGCAGTTATTCTCCGGAGTAACCTCCAGAGTACCATCCGAGTACCATTCGGGGTACCATCCGGAATATCATCCGAGAATCCAGTCATGTACCTGAACTAACGAAACTCGTAATAATTGTTGATGCATCGTTTGTATTTTGATACCCATCGGAGGCCCAAGATGAGGAAGTTTGTATAAAAGAGTTACAATAACAATGACCCAACTAAAAGCTTAACTTCGAGACGATTTAAGTTAGTCCGGTATTACTTAACAAATAAGTTGAACGTATTTTTAGTTTAAAGTATGAGCTCGACACGGACTTTAATTGATTTAAAAGATCAACCTCATCGCAAAGACAACGAGAAGTCCGAATAATGCAAGTGTCAGGGGCAAATTTGAATCGTCCATAAGAATCGAAAAATCAATTGAAGATTTGCTCTAAGAATTGATAAATTGTATCTTTCTCTAAAATTTTTAATGTAAATAAAGTTACCCTATTATTTTCGTGTATTTGATAAGGAATCACCAAATAATCAACGTGAAAGGTGAGTGTGATCACCAAAAGAAATACGTTCGTGAAAAAAAACGAAAAAATTAACATTTTTCAAATTGATTTCTTTTCATACAGAAAATATTCGTCGAATTCGAATTTTCCATTCTGGAGACGACATAGCGAGACATCGAAGAGAAAAGTTATAGACATGTAAAAGAATATGAAAGATAGAGAGAAAAAAATAAATGTGCTAGAATTTGCAATTAACAAGCAACAATAACCATCTCATCTTACAACAAATATGAGAAGCTCCATTTGACTGAAATTTATTGAACTTGCTGAAATGATGGTGACAGATGGGATAAGGACGGGGCGAGTGTAAGACAAAGTAGTCGTCATTGATAGGGAACATAGCTAAAATGAGATGTTAAAGGAGGTAACAATCGAGGCTGATTCCAAGTGAGAAATTTCTATCGGCGATAACCTTTGTTTTGCTTTAATTTGATCGATTTCCTGCCATATTCGGCAAAATTTTATTGAGATCTCCTTCTGCGGCAGACAGGTTTGAACGAGTCAACTGGCAAGCCACTCCCCTCGCAGAAAATTAGAATCATTTCTTATTTGACTTTTCTTTCATGATGAGCGATGATGAAGCTATTGAAGATGATAAACTGACGTACGTCATTGTTGAGTTAGAACAATTGGAAATTTTCCTACAACATTCCTATATTTGTGTGGGAATTCAAGCAGGCCGAAGTAAAGAAAAGTCGAAAAAAATCCATTGGGCAAGAAATGGAATTTGCCGTAACAGCCGATGTTAACTGATGTTCATGTCAAAATGATAAATGGACTTGATGGTCGAGACAGAAGTTTGTAGAAGGTACAGAAACTTGGTTGGTCAACCTTGCAATCACAGCAGCTGCTCAAGTCGCACAAAATGGCCTGTGCACTTAGACCACTCGACCACGCGTATAAAGGAGCCTCATAATTCCACTTTTTACAAAAGACGGTCCCACGAACTCTCAGAACTAATTTGATTTTTTTAAATTAGATAAAATTTTACACATATAGCCAAATTTTCAGCCAAATCCGTTCCGCCGTTTTTTCTGAAATCGCATAACAGACAGACACACATATATACTCTCTCTCTTATAATAAGTAACGATCAAAACTATTATTTACTTACAATCATCGCAATTTGAATGATTCTGAACGTTTTAATATGATCTGGAGCTTTCACACAACTGAATATACCAATAGTGAGTGAGCAAATAAGGGCATCGATTGGAAATGGAATTAAATAAAGAGTCTCGAGAATTGAATATTCTGACATTTGGGTCTGATAGTGGAAAAAGTTAACCAAATGTGGCTGTTTCTGAACCCCAAAAGTAGAGTGGAAGAGTTGGAAATAAAAATGGAAACAGGTGTTTTTTGAGAGTCAGGAGACAGCTGTAAACTTTAAGAAATAGTTTCCAGCCTGTAATGAACACCTGTTAAACCTTACTGTTTATAATACCATAATTTTAGGCTACGATCACCTATCATGATCCTGGTCACATCACTTATTGTTGTCAAGGTGAGTTTTGTAACTTCAAAAGTTTCCATTGCTCTTTCTTTATCTTTTCGTTTTTATTTCTACTTAATTTTTTAAAATTGGTTTATTATAAATAAGTACTATTTTATTTTCAAGTCAGATCAAGTTTTTAAATATTCGTATTGATGCCTGATAGGAGATAGCGGTACAGAACAATTTTTGGCATCTCCGGTATATTGTAGTAATAGAAAATGGCCTACCTGATTCGTTAGAGCTGAATCTGTAATTAGTTTTTGATAAATCGTGGAATAAAACTGAATTCGAAGTCTTTATTCACAACTCTTTTTTTCTTCATAATTAAATGCAAGCACCAAGATTGTTGAAAGATTTCTGATCATTTAAACAAATTCGATCTTTACCTCTGTTTCTCGTGTTGGCTCAGAGCGATAATAGTTCTTACTAAATTTTTATAAATTGTTTGAGGCTTATTTACCAAATTACCTGAAATGTAAATACCCGTAACATTCAGAATTATCTTCCATTTCTTTATAGAGACTTTGCCGAATTTTTGAAAACTCCGGAGGATCGTTTGGCCCTTCTTTCCAACAATCACGAATAATCGAGCTTCTAAACGTTTGATATTCACAAATTTCTAAATAGATTACATGAGAGATGGAGCCGCCTCCGGGATTTCCAAAAGTTTCCCTGTTTTCAAATGTGGAAGCACTTCCTCTTGGTTTTTTGAATGGAACGGAATCTTGCCGAATGAGTACAATTCGTAAAGAAGAGGGGGGCCATTACCTTTGAGCGGCACTGTATATATATGCTTTATTCAGGGGCGAATAGAAGCGAATCAAATAATCATAACCGCATATAACATATTGCTACAATACTTTCACAAAAGAGAAAGAAAACTAAAAATAGTACAGTAAGACTACAGTTATGAAACAGAGTTCCAAAAAGATTAAATATAGGGCAGATTTGACATGACAATAAGGTCTAATTCGTTTACAGATACTTTCAATTTTCCTACAGCCGAGAAGATACCAGACGGGAGCTTATTCCAAGTCCAAGATGGGAGCTGATTCCAAACCCTACTAATACGGTTCGCAAAAGAATGATAAAGGAAAAGATGATGGGGATGAGAACCGACCGAAATTTGATAAGGATGACTACGTGTACTTCTAGGAATTTCCACAATTTTCAAGAGGCTTTGAAATTCTGAATGCGACTTAGGGTGGAAAAGAATTTTATAGCAAAAAATAAGTTCAAAGTAAATACGGCGATATAAAAGGGGTTTTAAATCAAAAACTATAAGTCTAGTGTCATAATTTGGAATAAGAGAAGAAGAGAAACAACGAGTGTATGCTTTTTTAGTGAAACGCCGTTGGACATTTTCAAGTTTTAAAGTGATAAGTTTTGAATACTTTGAATTTTAATAATACTTAATAATTTGTAGAATTTTTAAATTATTATAAATTATTGTAGTTTTCATTTTTTCTTTAGATGATTCTTTAGTAAAAATCCCAGTCGAGCCAGCATGTTTCGATCCCGGGAATATCGCATCGCAATTATACAGTCGATTAAAAAAATGTAATATTAAAAGTTTTCTTTCGCATTTTTATTTTTTTTTTCTTGACCTGCTATAAAACAGACGGATTGCACTAGCCATGGCAAAGATTTTTCTTCTAAAACCCCCTTTGGATATTTCATTTAGCAATAAAAGGCCCAACAAAAAGAAAGCAAATAAAGTTGAGGAACCAATTTTTTGATTGCAAATCGATATTGACTTTGAAGAGCTTTGAAGATATTCATATTTGCATTATTCATATATTCATATTTAGTTCGCTTGCAATTTCTTTTTGTTGACACTGCTAAATGAGTCAATTGATACCTCCTAAAAATGGCGCTTTTGGGACGGTTTCCCTCGTTGATGATCCGTGAGTTATAAAAACAAATACTGCCAATACTTTAAAATTTTCTTTCAGTTTCAATTCTGGGATTTCAACGAAATCGTCATGGGAAGTAATCGGGAGAGGATCGTTTGGAAAAGTTTATCTTCTTAAAGAATATGAACCGTAAGTGATTTACTCAAATCTTGTAGCTTATTAGTTAGAAGAGTTTTACTCAAAGTTTTCATTTAGACCAATAGTGATGAAAAAAGGCTACAGTCAAAACCTCATTGATCAATCTTCGGAAATGGGAATTCTGAAGGAATTAGTTCATGAAAATATCGTTCGATTCATCGATCAGCCACTCGATTTTGAATATGCAGGAAGTTCATTTCTGATATTTCAGGAATATTGTTGTGAGGGATCGCTGAGAAATGGTGAGTGAGAGATGAGCGGATTGTGATTTTGTGTGCTGTTTAGTGATTTGTGATCCGACTGTGAATTATTCGATGGCAACTCTCACCAAATGGGCGCACAACATTTTCTCCGCTTTACGGTTTTTGAAAATGAAACGAATCGCACACCGAGATGTGAAACTGGAAAAGTGGGTGGATAGAAGGAAATGAATAGATGAATACAAAGAAGTTTTAGCATATTCGTTACCGAAGGCTTTGAGTTAAAACTTGGTGATTTTGGGATTTTCAAACGGTTCGAGGATGGGAAAGAAGTAGCGATTGATAACGCTGGCACCCCAAACTACATGGCCCCTGAGCTGTTAGAAACTAGCAGTCAACTGAGTGAAGATGTACGGAAAATTTTAATTTGTACATCACATAAAAATAGTTAAGAGCGAAAAAATAGCGAAAACTTTAGGATCTCTATCAATGTGATGTTTTTGCTGCTGGTCTCGTGCTTTGGGAGGCAACATTTAGAGAGTAAAAATTTCGTAAAAAAAGCTTCTGTGGGAAAAAATCTGGAAAAAAGAAACATTTTTCAATTTTTCTTGATTTAGGCTTTTTAGCGCAATTTTAGGAGACTCCCCAACTCATCATCAGGAAACTCCCCAATTACTCTTCATTTCCCATCAACAACCTCACCAGATGTTCAACAGTGTTTCGATTTAATTGAAAGGTTTCTAAAGGTTTACAGTCTAAAGGTTAAGGTCTAAAGCACTTTCGTTTTCTTCATTTCAGATGTTCATCTTCTAAAATTTCGATCAAATCTCGTCTAACAACTGAACAAGCCTTATTGGAAGTGGAATCACTGGGCGAGGTTATTCAATAAAATGCTTTGAGTACAGAAATTCTTTAGAACTTCAAATCCCTCATTTTCGAACCAGAAAGATCTCGAAATCAGTGTTTGAAGACTTTGCCTGAAGGTCTATGCATCGAGATGCCAACAACACATAACTCTTTGCATCCACCTGACGCAACATTTGGCACAGAGTCTCAAAAAACAAAACCAACTGAATCCAGAAAGATCGATTCGACATTCGAAAATCAGTTTAACCAATGGATCTCCAGAACTCAAAGGGAATCTAACTTCAAAAATATGATAGGAAAAACCCACAATGAAAAGCCGTGTAGTCAATCATGCACATGTCGGAAAAGCACGAGTGTGTCTAATTATTTGGAGAATTTCCTTATCTTTCCAAAACATGCGGAAGTATTATTGGATAAAACGAAGGTCGCCAATGTCAATGCAACTCGAGAAGAGTTGAGAAAGAACTTTTTGAATTCAGTGGAGCAGATATGTGCTTCGGAAAAACCAACACTATTGATTCACCTGAAAGAAATGCACAACAATCTATCGAAATGGGATGATTTTTCCCGTTGCGACGAATCCCTTCAATCAACCGTCAATCATTTTGTTGAACTTCTCAAGTTTGATATAGCTTTGCAAGAGTTTTGCTACAAATTTGCAATGAAAACCTTATGGAAATGCCAAGCAAAGGGCTTTTCGTGGATGGAATTGTTGGACCTATTGAATGTCGCCATTCATAATGTTGAGGAGTGCGATCATATTTATATCCGTCGACGCCAATATTACAAGGTCGTCTTCACTGATTCGAGAGCTGAATGGTGTCAAGAGTATGGATTGGCGTTCACGAAAGATCTTCGAGAAATTCGAAAAGTGATACCTTATTACACATACATTTTCAATTCGCCATCAGTAATCGATCTCGAAGTGATTCGTCGTGTTTTGCGTAGGAAGAAAGATGAGATCGGCAAATTTCAGCCTTACGATTGCAAAAGAGAAAAATTGTACAAAGATCTGAAAGGTTGGCATGAAACGCTTACCCTTTTTACTGGGATTGGATCGTTACCGAAAACCGAGTTAGAAGTGCTGCTTCAGACGTTGTCAATTGGAAGTGAAAGCCATTTTCCAGGATATGCATTTTTCTTTAACTGGTTGCCCTTACAAAACCAAGAAACAAGTTGTCATTGTTCTGCCTTATGTGAAAAGAGGAAATTTTCGGAGACAGGGCTTCTTCATCATATTAACTTATGTTATGTTATGTGTAAAGAAAGGAATGAGAAACTAAAAGACCTCAGATTGGAAGAAAATACCCAGTTTGACTTGGAGAGTATATATGAACTCGAACAAAGGGCATGCGGTGATGAATGCGTTTTCACTTTGAGCGTTGTTTGTCCAGATCGAAAAAAAAGCGACACGCAGTGTTTGACACGTTTCCCGGGTCTCATCTGGGAATCCAAGCCAAAGTATGCGATTCGCTCAGTTTGTGACTGTAAACCCATTCATTGTGCTGTTGGTAAATTTCCGGAAAATGCTCCAAACAGTGAGGTTCAATTCGAATATTCGACATGTTTGAAATTAAATCAAAAAGAATTTCTGGAGACGCATTCACTTTTTGAGAAGGCTTTTCGATTGCTAAATGAGTGGGAGGATCTTGAAAACATGAAAGAAATTAATTTATATTTAATCGAAAGTTTATTGGAGGAAATGAAAGACAAAGAAGATCCATCATTTGGTTTCTGTTTTATGCTAGTGAAGCAGTGTGATTTGCAAGAGGTTCGAAACAGAAACTTTTTCGTTTGTGATCATATGACTGCTGATAGTCGATTCGGCTTTCTGATAAACCTCGGAGGTCAATCGTTGCTCATAAGCAAAGATTTCCATCTGCAAGATTGTTGTATGTTTTGTATGAATCAATTTGTCGAACTGATTTATGTCAGTCTTTACGAACTTGCTGATCTGTTAAGTATTATGCGACAGTATTTGACTCCTGAATGGCTGTATACGGGTAGTTTTTGAAGATCGAAATATTTCTAGCACGTTTTTAGAAGAAATGAACACAACAAAATTCCACAGTGTCCCAAAGATCGTCCCATTGCGTCTGCCTACGGGTGGTTTCTAAGATTCCTACAAAATGTTTTCTAATGCGTTTTTTAGAAGAACTGAACACGACATCATCACACATGACTTCAGAAGATTATCACGTAAAAATGGAATCGGCTTTCCAGAGATTTTGGTCAAATAACACGATTGGTTCGCTACCAAAAACCTACAAGTTTTGAAATTTTGTCTACAATTTTCTACAAGTGTCTACAAGTCTTGAAATTTTGAAAATATTTAAGATTTTTGCACCTAACATTTTGCAATGCATTTGTAAAATTTTATCTGTGATCTGGTAGAAGTTCTGTTTTTGGCGCAGAAATAAACACCTTTTACAAAACTTTTGCTTACAAAAAGTTTATAAATATTTATTTGTTAAACTTGCTGTTTAATGCTGTTCAATTTCAGCGTGAACATTAAAAACATACAACATGCGCAAACTATCCATTTCAATGGGCTTTTCTGTTTGATTGCTCACACAAAAGGAATGGGATTTGGTTGCGTTTCGATTTTCGGATAAGTCGGGGATAAGTCGGACCCTTATAAATTTTTTTAAATCCTTTTAAATTTTACTGCCAAACCTTCTAGGTTATATTAGGTTGTTCGGATATAAACAATCGTTGCTAAAATTTTTGTTGTGAGAGAAGCTTTTAAAACATGTCTTTCTGTATTTAAAAGTACGTTATCTTGTGCATATTTGGAATTTTTTTAAATGGATAATTTCTTATTTTTAAGATCTTTTTTCTTGCTTTAGATGACCGACTTCAAATATCAAGTTTGCGTCTGCCTACTTTACGACTTCAAAACAGTCGCGGAATCCCATCGAGATTTGGTCAAAGCATTTGGGAATGATGTATTGTCCGAAAGCTGATGCCCAGCCTGGTTCCGACGCTTTCGGAATGGTGATGAAAGTCTCGAGGATGATGAACACTCCTGATGAACCTCAAGCGGTAGACAACGATACTTTGAGGGCTGCAATCGAATCGGACCCATGTCAAACGACGCGTGAACTTGCTCAACAGTTTATATGTTAAAATTCTACTATTGAAGAGCATCTTCACCCCATTGGAAAGACGATCAGATGCGGGAAATGGCTTCCTCACGAATTAAGCAGTGCAAATAAGGCTTCATGGGTCGCTATTGCCGGAATCCTCATCCGCCACGCTAAATATCATGGCTTTTTTGATTCTCTCGTTACTGGAGATGAGAAGTGGATCCATTTCGATAATACTATTCGAAAACGGAAATGACTAGGACCAGGAGAACGGCCAAATCCGACCGTGAAACCGGACATTCATGGGAAAAAGGTCATGCTCTCAGTATGGTGGAATAACAAGGGCCTTGTTTATTTTGAGCTTCTACAACCCGGCCAAACAGTCACATCAGACCTCTACAAACCGCAACTTGATCGGGTCAATCGAGCTCTCATTCGTTAAGGAGTAGACACATCGAAGATAAAGTTCATCCATAACAACGCTAGACTTCACGTTGCAAAAATGACTCAGCAAAAACTAGAGAATCTAGGATGGGAGGTTTTACCACATCCGCTGTATGCTCCCGATTTGGCTCTCTCAGATTACCTTTGATTCCGGTCGATTCAAAACTTTTTGGCCAATGAGAAATTCAAAAACCGTGAAGATGACCAAAATTGGGTCGCCAAGTTTTTCGAATCACAGCCGGCTGAGTTTTTCAGGAGCGGCATCAATTCTTTGCGCAAAAGATGGCAAGAAGTAATCAATAATAATGGTGAATATATCTTAGATTAAACTGTGTTGTTTCTGTTTTTAAGATAAATTTTGTCAACGACTAAAACGCTCGTTTATATCCAAACAACCTAATACATATGGCTCATATACAACATTCTAAGCACTCTTCAGCTAAACTCTTTTTCAAAAGTAGTGACTTTTTGGGCGACCAATTTTGTATGGGGAGGGTGGGCTTCTATTTGAGTATTTACGGTAGTATTTGTGTGTTGTGAATTGTGATTGGTTTTTATTTATATATACATGCTTTATTCAGTTGAATAGCGAGAAAAAATCACAATAATTACCCGGGACACCACTCAAAACACACCCAAAAGATAAATAGATACCTCAAGAAAGGGTCACAGAGCAGTCAAATCAATTGTAGAAATTGCGGCTTTAAATCTAGCCAAGGTGGGAATATCACGAAGATGAGGGGGTAAAATGTTTCAGAATTTAATAACTCGATTAAAAAAGAAACTGTGGGGGCTTTTAGAGGGAACGGAAGGTTGGCGTATGAGAAAAGGCCCCGTTCTGGAGGCCGTAGAGAGCTGATGAGAGACTGCAAATGTGAGACTCAAAAATGGAGGACTGGAGAGACTCAAAAATCGAGGACCAGTTTGAGCACTTTCTTCAAAAGAAACCCATTTTGGTGTCAATAGAAAAGTTGTAGAGAATCAAAAATTAGGCTTATAGCCAAATTTCCAAAAATATACACTTTGTAGTTTCGCTTAAAATGCAAGTTTTGTGAAAATTCGTAAATTTGGCATTTCTTGAAAACCAGTTTTTGAATAGCTCTGAAAATTTGGATATAAGCTTGATTTTTGATGCTCTACAACTTTTCCATGGACACCAAAATGGGTTTATTTTGAAGAAAGTGCTTAAACTGTGACATATGGCAATAGCAGTTTTCAATTCATCAATCCAATAGTTCATTGTTTCGGATACCATTCAGCATTGACAACATTTCGAAAAGGAAAAAACTTTCTTGAATTATGGAATATCCAAACGTTCACAATTCGGTCATAAATGTAACTTTCTTTGAAATTGAATAAAAGATAAAATAGATAAAATTTACGATAAAAGATTTTCTAGAAGCTTCAAGAAATGCACTGGATCGATTCATGAAAGAAACATAAATTTTTACATAAAGTAAAAACCCAAAATAAACTTTTAATATAAAAACAAAGAAAAATTTAGAGTTTTACGATAATTTTTGCCCTCCTTTGGATTTTGTTTTACACAATGGGATGGACAATTCTGTATTTCAATTGAACAGAGTAAGCTTAATATCTATCAACCTTATTGCAAAAGTTTGGTGCTAGCGCTTAGCTCCCCAGAGAATACGGTAAGCTTTATTCAGGGGCGTGTAATAGTAGTGCACCTCGTCGCGCCGAGTTGATGACTATTTTACGGTTTCGAAGTTTTCGCAGAAGTTCAACACTCTAATCCACCACAAGATCTCATCGTCAGCTACATTTTCCGACCGCACATCGCTAGGTTCTGGTAAGCGGCTTCCAAGATTTCGAGCCATTTAGGCTCAGGGTGCACTACTATTAGAGAAAATACCGTATATGATAAATACCGTTCTAATTTTGTGTTGATATTATTAATCTGTCAACATTTTAACAACAGGTGACAAAAGTTTTTTTAACTCACTAAAAGCTCTGTAACCAAAATCCCAAAGATTTCGGTGAATAAAAACGATGAATATTTTATCATAACGTTTATTGGTTACTCTATATAGAGTTTCCGCTATATAAAGAAACATATACAAAATCGATTCCGTTAAATAGAGTTTCGACTCTATTCAAAAGCTACGAAATAAAACGAAATTTCACTTTTTTGTTGTGCTTTTTGAGGCAATGATTTCAAACCTTATTTGACGGTTATTTCAGCTGATTGTGCAACAATAAAGGACCAATTAAAAGATGGAAACGGAAAATTTTTCTTTGAAAACTTTTTTTTCGAGAGACTTTTATTCTGTTATTTTGTCACTCAATTAAATGTCGTCTAAAAGTAATCCAGCTGGAGGGAAATTTAATCCGAAATATCTGTAAGTTTTTGAAAGAAATGGAATATTTTGAAGTAAAAATAGATTAGAAATTATTATAGGTTTTAAAAACTAAAAAATAAGCTCTACTTAGTTAAAAATTTAAACATAGTAAGCAAAAAAAACAAAAAGGTTTTGTTAGTAAGAGGAATTGAAGCCTCGATGGCAAAGAAACGAAGTCTTCCTCGCGCACTTAACTACTTGAGATCATCGGTGAGACCTATTAGGTTTAGGAAAAAGTAATGTCGGTTTTTGTCACGAAACTGTTTATTGCTAAAAACATAAACAAACGCACATCAATCAATGAGATATTCTCAATTATTATTGATGACTTGTCCCCATCTTTGTCGCAAGTCCCTGATCCCATCCTCAAAAAAAAAATGGGGAGTTTTGGTGCCAAAATAAGTGTCAACTGCTTTTTTTGATCTGTGCATGATTCTCGAACTTTTCTCTCATAAGAAAACTCTTCAACGACCGAAACAAAAAATAATCTGATAGGGTCGGACTATAAGGCAGAAGTTTCCAACCAAGCTCGTCGATTTCCCTTATTTAAAATCATACCACAAAGCGGCTCGAAGTCGAAACTTTTCTTCTTGCATTTTGTACCTGAAAATATTCTTAAATTTGTAAAAATCAAATATAATATGAAAGTATAGAAGTGCTTAGCTGATATCAATTTGAAAAAAAAAAATCGCATAAGCAAAGAACTAGAAAATTGCCAACAACGGGAATTCAAAACCGACATTACTTTTTCCTCAACCTAATAGAAAATAAAGGGGTATAAAAGGGTCCACTTGTATTTCAAGGAAAAACATAAAAGTTGCGTCATAACTTTCTTTAAACTCAATATTTTTTTTTAATTTCAAAATCAATTTGATTCTAAAAAGTAATTTGATCACTGATTTGACTGATGACTGTAAAAGTTTTGTTTAGAAGACTGAGTAAATATTCCATAAAGTTATCAAATTTTAGCCCGAAAATCCAAAAATTCTTCTCCAAGAATGAGTGCCCAAAATGGAATGATTTGGAAACGTTCGAAAGAGAAAAGAAATCTCTCCTCAGAACAAACAACTTTTCAAATATAGCAAAATATTTTGAGATCAATGACAATGGAGATCGATTTGAGTTTTTGATGGAGAGTTGGGAATGGGGATCGTTGAGAGATGGTTGGTTATATTCTTTTTCAAAAGTATTAGTTATAAGTAGCTTTGCCTATCGATATTTTCTCCGATATAGACAAGTTTCCATGATAAATCATGGATAAATAGTCTATTTAGTGGATGAGTTGTCTGAATTGTGAATGTTTATCGATAAGCTCTTATCGATATCGATATTATTGAGAATATATACCAACTGGGGTTTCCAGTAGTGAGCTTATTGCATACATGAAATACACCAATCACAATTCACAACACACACAATACTAGGCTATATCGTAACTTAATACACGCCTTCCTTGGATAACCCTACTCTTAATGGACGGTTTGGAAAACACCATAACTATACAAATATACAATCAATTTCTCTGAAAATTTGGCTATCTACCTAACTTTTTGTGCCCTATATTTTATCTATTGACACAAAGATAGATTTCCTTTAGCTAAAGTTTCTAAACCGCATCATCGAGTCGTCGCCCTTTTTGACTACCCGGCTTCACTCTCTCAAAAAACATCCAGACATCAGACATTTTAAAATCGGTTTTAATGTTATTTTGCAGAAAAACAATTGGCCTTTCTAGTGAAACAAACCGTAGTTCAATTGATGCATTTGTTGGTTTTAAACGGAACTACGAAAAGGAGCGAAAAGACTTATGCATCAACCAAATAAGACCTTTACTAGTCTACCCATCTAATCAAAGCCGGACGGGGGCGGAGCCTGCACACTCTGATTAGGGAAGAGACTCCTAGTTCATCCCATGGATTCGAACCAGAAACTAACCGAGCCTGACGTTGCTTAACTTGGCAGATCTGACAGGATACTGTGTTTCAACGTGGCGAGGCCGTAGCTTTTATCGATACTTATCGATATCGAGACGTCTCTCTTGTAAGTCTAGTTATAAGTATAAAACCTTAGCAACCTTTCCGTTAGCAATATAAATCGGAAGATAGAACTCAATTTGCAAAACATAAATCAAAAAAGCAAAAACTTCTATGCCAAATAACTCGCGACAGAGACCAATTCAGTTAAATTTGATGGCAGATTTGGAAACAGCATTAAAAACTGCTTTCATGATTTCATTTTATATGTTTCATTTGCAAACTTCACCTTAATTTAGAAGCATTTTCTAGATAGCTACCGTAAATACTGTAATAGTACCCCACCCCCATAATGATGGTGCGGAGTGTTGCGTAGTCTAGCTTTGAACGAGTTTTTCTCGAGACTGGTTTATGCTACAATGCGCGCTTAGGTATCAAAAAATAGCCCTGAATTTCAGCTATTTTTTGATACCAAAGAGGCATTTTTGAAAGTACGGGTGCTTTGAAAAAAATGAAATACTAAAAAACTTTTGCGACTACGCGACTGTACGAGGGGGGTGGGGTACTATTACAGTATTTACTGTAGTTTTCTTTGATAAAGGGCAACACAGTTTACAATCAAATCAACAACATTTTCAGTGTATTCCTCTCCAAAATACATCTATACAATGAATCTCGTTCTCGATTGGAGTAAACAACTCTTTAGTGCACTTGGTTATTTAAACTGTAGGAATATCCTCCAGCAAGATATTTGCCCTGAAAAGTGAGTGAATTTTCTACTAAAGAAGATCTACGAAAGTCATTTGTTACATTTAGTGTGATTATGACAGGGGATTTTTCTTTGAAATTAGCCTATTTCCCAACAATTCCCAATTTAATCGGTGGACAGCGATATGAAGGAGTTGAGAAATATGGAAGAGCTGAATGGGATGAGGTTTGAAAAATAAGTTTTGAAAAATTTTAACAAATTTTTTAGTCATTTAAAAACCAAGTTTACTCGATTGGGTTAATTATTTGGGAGATTATCGAAAGAAGGTTTGAGTTTTCAAAAAAAAATCTTATTTAAAGATTTTAGGAGAGTTTTCGAGGAATATGATAGAGATGGAAAGTTTCAAGTCGATCAACTTCATCAGGATCTAAAGACGGGAAAATTCCTGCTCCCATGGCCGAAATGTGAAAGCCGATTGGCGGTGATTGTTGAATTGTGAGTTCTAATGATAGGAAATTTGTTATTTACAATCTTAACTATATTCTACTTATTACTAAATAAGTGATTTATAACAAGATCCGGTAAAAGTATGACTTTAGCCCTCAATTTTCAGATGCACTCGATTAAATCTTGATGATCGACCTGGTTCATCAGATGCTTTCGATTTACCGTACTCAAAAATATCTCAACATGCAAGTAACAAAAAAGAGCCTCAGGTAAGCGCTATTAATTTGTGAGATCTAATAAAATAAGTAGATACCGTAATTGCTCAAAAAGCCATGGTTTATTAATCAATCCAAAAAGTGCTACTGTGCTGTTAGCGCCCCGCAGAAACACCCCCCTGCCGTTAGCACGCCTTTGGTTTGGCGTTTTCGACACGCGATTCCTCACTTTTTTTAACATTTGCTGCAGTTGTTACCGTTCGCTTTCTTCCAAGCCCTGGTCGATCAGAAAAAGTGGTACTATGCTGTTAGCGCTCCTCAGAAATTGCGTCAATGCGGTTAGCGTCCCTGTGTCAATGCGGTTAGCGCCCCTCAAAATTCGCAAAATTTTGATTGTTGGTAGCGAGAACATGAATATTTCCAACCAAATATGGAGAACGAATTTTTAGAAATGATATATTAAGGAGAGGAGTGAGATATGATGTGTACAGGGTGCGCCATTTGCGCGTACTTGTATTTTCTGTATTTTTGGTGATGTTAGATAAAAGATACGATTTTAAAAGTAAGAAATTCGAATTCCTCGTAAAAAACTGCTTTAGAAAACGTTTCTGGTTAATTTATAAGTGCAACACTATTTAAGACAATTGATGGAGAAGAGGGTCCGCTCAGGGGCGCTTTGGTCGCACATTTTTTTGGGGCTTCAGGCCTGTAACTTTTATGGATCAAAAGATTTTCAAGAGCCAAGATGTTTTTCGAAAACTAGACATAAAATGTGCCATTTTTTATATTGGGTGTATAAGGTTTTGGTCAACGACCGAGTTAGAACTTGGTTTTCCCATACAAATTTCCATCAAAGGAAATAACTGTAACTGTGCGACCAAAGCGCCCCTTAGCGGACCCTCTTCTCAATCAATTGTCTTAAATAGCGTTGCACTTATAAATTAACCAGAAACGTTTTCGAAATCAGTTTTTCACGAGAAATTCGAATTTCTTACTTTTAAGATCGTATCTTTTATCTAAAATTATCAAAAATGCAGAAAATACAAGTACGGGAACTTCTGGCGCACCCTGTATATGCTAATGTAAGTATGCAAATTTTGAGGGGCCCTAACAGCAAAGCACCCACAACGTTCAGGCTCTCAAAATGAAGATCCGGGAAGATGAACGTTGTTTGATTCGACCCATTGGATTTGATGGAACCGAAAATGAAGTTGAAATACAATCAGAAACCGTCAAAGTCTCAAAAATTGACAAAATCAAGCAAATATTCAATCAATCAAAAAAAATCGTGGAAAACACTGAAAAAGAGTTAGAAGGCGAAAACCGTTTCTTTTCATATCTTGTTGCTATGTTCCCCAAATCAAGGACAATCCAAAAGTTTCGAGAAATCCTCAAAAACGACATGTTATACTATATTTTGATGGAGAAGTCGAATAGTTTTTTCAATGATTATATTTTTCTAATCGATGAGAAACCGATTCTGAAATCCTATACGGAAATGAATGACGAATTTTTCGAAATGTGGGAAAATGTCGAAGAAAAGGATATTCGAATGATTTCTTTGTTTCTTTTTCGGAAAGAAATCAAAATCCAACGGCTTGCCAACTATTTGCATCAAAAAATGAGCGAATTTTTCGATTGGGATGAAAATTTACCATTTTCTGACATAAAAGATACGATTTCTGGGGAAAATGAGAAAAATTGGAAACTATTGAAATCTTTTGGAGCGTCATTTTGTAGAAAATTTTTAAATCCTTGTCTCGATCTACCAAATCCGGAAGAAATTCATTTAAAACTTGGGGTTTATTGGAAAGAATTCAATTCAAAAGAATCATATATTCTTTTATCGAAAAACGAAAAGCTTTGCATTTCTATCGATTTATCCCAAAAACAAACTTTAATCGGAGATTTTTCGCAGAATTTCGATGAATTTAAGCCAAAATTCGCTCAAAATGAGGTTCATTATCGGAAAATCGGTTTCGGTTTTAATTATTATCTTTTTTCAAACTTTGATACGGAAAAATTGAAAGAGAACTTTGGAATCAGTCTAATAAAAGAAATTCCCAGACTATTCCCTGCTTTTAATAGATACGAAAATTATCATTTATTTATAAGCTATATCTTTCAATTGAATATCTCTCCCCTCAATTGGCCGTGGATTATTTATTCGGAAATTTCTCATTCACAATTAAGAGAATATTGTTATTTCCATGAGAACTGTTCAAAAAGGTTTCTTGGAGGAAAAGATTATCAACTTTTACCATCTTCTGAATTGGATTTCTTTCATTTTATGATCAAACGAGGATATTCTAGACCAAGTAGACCCAGAATATTGGAGATACCGAAAAATGATGGAAAATCGGTGAAAGTCTTGGACCGATCGAGGAATCGAGTTGTTGACGAAATATTGACTTTTCATGATGTGGCTGACTATTTTGTTTGGTGGCCATTATATAGAATTGAGGATTTTATTAGAGATGGATATTATGGACGGTTTTATGATGAGGAGAGGAGAAATGAAGTCTTTTATCCTTTTGGTCATCGAACATTTATGAGCTCAAGCGGAGGTATTCAACGAATTCCAATTAGACCAATTAATGAAAATAAAGACATTGATGATCCCTCCTATATTGATCCTTTTGAAGTTAATCTTTTTGATTGAGTTTTTGTTTTGAAATAGAAAAGTATCTTGATTAAGGTCAATTTTTTAAATGATGATAAGCTTTTTTGCTTTTTTTGTGTTCTTTTGATACTTTGTTGAAGTTGTAAATAAATTTATTTAATAAATAGTAATTATTAATTAATAAAAAGCCTTAGGTAAATGGGTGAATTTTTTGATTTTTAAATGGAAGTATGAAAAAGGACGAATAGACTTGTTTGCCAACCTAATAATTATTATAACACATCCACGACCGTCAATATTGCGCTCGTCGACAAGAACAACTGGAATTTCGCGATCACCAAGTACAAATAGGAAAAGCTAACTGTTGTGCAAATCGTGACCGTGAGAATCATGAATGATTCAATTTAAACACTAATAATCTTTTAAAGAAAACCTTTATAGCTATCAAATAACAAGACCTAACGTTAAATTCCCAAACCTAACATCAAATGCCCAAACAGTGACCAAGATGGAAACGACAGATTTGATGATCGACTGAAATGTCTACAATTCCATCTATCAGGCGACGTGAGCTTAAAAAACGAATGCTTGGGTGTGTGACAAATTCACTCATATCGATTAAAACAATTGACATTGGCATTTAACTGTTTAGTGCGAAAATAGTTAAGAAGATGCCACATAGCCAATGAAAACAATAAATTCAACAAAATCAAAATGACAAAAGTTTTAAAATGAGTGTATCCAAAATCTCTCATCTGTAATGATAAAGGTAAAGGCTTATTGGATTGAAAATAACCAAAAGAAGGCCAACCAGTTGTTTCCAAAATACCAACAAAACGAACTGAAATAAGAATTTTTGAAAAAGATGTAGGGATATCTGCCAAATAACAAGGCACAGATCACGTTTCACAACATTATCACCGCTTGAATAGATTGAGCGTGTCGAGGACTTTTTCGACCACCTGGTCAGTCGTCTTCACCGTCTCAGTGATCACAGCTTCTGTTGCTCGAACGGTTGTCTCGGTCACAGATCCAATTGTAGAGATCGGGTCAGGACGGAAGGATGGACTGCTAGTCGGCCAACAATCTGGAGAAAAACAGCCACCCGGATGTGGAAGCAGAGTGCAATCTGGTCGAAGCCATGTGGTTGGCTGAGATGACTAAAGTTTTTACATTGACTTCAGCTTAATTGTAAGGCCCTCTTATAATCTGGTATCTATCTTTTAAAAAATTTATAAGATTCATCCGTTTTTAGACTACTAACCTCGTCATCTTTTTTTTTGTCGGCCTCCACTTTTCTCCTTTCTTCTTCGGCCTTTTCTTTGTCCTCCTCGGCTTGGCGGCGTGCTCTTCGTTCTTTTGACGCTGTAATAAAGAAGGTATAATCCGAGCAAAGAAAAGCCTATCGAAACCTATAAGTTTGAGGTAAATCTTTTCTCTTTTTCTCTTCCATGCAAATCCAATTGCCAGATACCATGACAAAATTTCGGTAAAGGAGAAGCCTCAGCCTCTGACGGACCCAAAAATTAACAGCTACTGGCCTGGTTAAATCTGAAGTCATATGCCATACTTAAAAACCTCAAAACCAAAGTATTGTTTTACCTTAGATTTACATTTGCCCTAGTAGGATATTGTTTACAAGTAGAGCTCAGAATGATTCCGTCTCTCCTAAATCGATCGATTTGCTCTTGAGCTCCTCTTTCGATTCTTCTTCGCTTCTTCAACTCTTGTTGCCCTTTCTTGAGTCGTTTATCATTTTTCTTTGTTTCTTTGATTTTTTTTGCTAAATCTTATAATTATTTTTTCGGAATTTAATTCCACAAACTGGCCGAAAGCCACTGGTGAGCTTATATTCTTCAATTTCAATTTTAGCCTTGCCTCACTTCTTCAAACTTTGATGAAATCTATTGTCATCAGATCCCGTAGCTCAGCTGAATACATGAACAAACCTCATAAGCATTCTTCATTCCATATCGAGAGAACGAGCTTCCATAAATTTTGCCAACGATTGCTGCTCTTGATGGGAATTTTAAATGATAAAGTATTTTTGTATGGTGTTCTGCCTTAAAAATATCATTGAATCTCACAAACATCACGTCCATTTCGATTTCTATAGGGCAAGACCTTGTTCCAAATTTGGACACCGATTGTGTGAGTATCATACTGTTGCTTGAACGGAACTCCATTCGAGCCACTTAAAGCCTCATACAAATGTTTACTTTTAACTATTGGGTTGGTGGAAAAGTCGTTTCCGATTTTTTGGAAGAGTACCTTAAATTTGTCCAATTTTAACGTTTTATAGCTCATCCTAAAGCTAAATTCAAGACGGATCGATTGGTAAAAACTGTTTTGAGATATCTCTTTTCTAAAAGTTTTTACAGCTATTTTAGTAAAGGGCGGCAGAGCCAAAAAATGGCTGTTTTCACGTTTCGTTAGTTTTTGGTGCAGAAACCTAGGCTAAAAACATGTGTTTCGTGATCAGCGTCAAAAATAACCCCTAGACACGCATTTTCAGAAGCTTAGCAAAAATTTTTTGAAAAATATTGTTACCGGTGGAAGTCGAACCAGCGACCCTCAGATCAATAGCTTTTCGCGATCTCCCTTCCTTTTCTCTTTTTTTTTTGGTTTTATCATTTTTTTGATGTTGTTAGAAGGCTTTTTTCAGTGTCGAATGTCGTTGAATCGGAGCGATTTTTGATTTTAAATAACTAAAATGCAAAATGATGTTTAAATTCGAATTTTATATACAAAAGTACGCCCAAATATCGTTTGCCAAATAATTTACTTTAAAAAACAAAATTTTTTAAGCATTTCTTTATTTTACACCTGTTGCAAAATGATAGGAGCACTACGTTTCTTTTTGATTTTCTATCTGTAATAACCATGCTTTTTGCTTACTTTTTGTTAGTTTTTATTTTTACGAAGATGGGGCGTGGAAAATCGCTTTCGCGGATCGAACAGATGAAAATTTTGATTTTGAAAGGAAGAAAGTTGTCGAATCGGAAGATTGCAAAAACAATAAAACGCTCACACCAAGTTTTCTCAAATTTCTTGAGGGATCCTTTCAAGTATGGCAAGAAAAGTCTCCGGGACGTCATCGAAAGCGCACTCCGCGCTGAACGGCATATGGGACATCTGTTGTGGAAAGTGATGTTGCTACAGGATGTCAAGGTACAAATTGGAGCTCCCGTCCACAAAAGCACTCTTTCTCGAGCCATCAAGTGTTACATCCGTTACATCAAAAGAGCAATCATGAAGAAAGCACCAAAACTGAAGCCGGCACACAAAGAAAAAAGGATAGCTCGGGCTCGGGATCACATCACCATCGATTGGAAAAAAGTATTTCGTACTCCGCATCGTCATGCAAATCCTTTTCTTCTCGAAAAATGTCACCCCGTCGATCACCGCTTGTGCCAAGTAAAATCATTTTTTTTTCACAACAATTAAGAAAATAAACAAAGTGAAGATACAGTCGAACCTCTCTATAACGAACCTCGATATAACGTAAACCTCTCTATAACGTAAGGCGTGACCGGTCCCGGCTGACGTTAAGCTATATAAAACGGTACTCTATATAACGTAAACCTCTATATAACGTAAGCTATAGCCGTCCCGTGAGTTACGTTATAGAGAGGTTCGACTGTAGTTTTATTTTTTTCAGAATACGTAACTTCCACCATTTGTAAAAAGAGGATTATAATGGAGTTGTCAAACAAGGTGAGTAATTCTGGTTCTGTTTCTAAGTTTGAGGTGTGTTGAATTCTTAAAAATTAAAAAAATTAAAAATATTTTCTTTTAAGATTTAACATTGGATTGAAGAAGATCTTTTTTAGAAAAGGAAAATAAGGGTTGGCCCAGATGTTACAAAACGATGTCTGGCAAGGCGTGTCTCAAATGCCAAGACAGATGTTTAAAATGGTGGCATAAGTAAGTTTTTTTTTTCTAAAGTTATATTCAATAAGTTATTCTGATTTCAGACGATGTTTCGATGCTACGTTGCATTATCGGGCTGATGAAGCAAAAGCTCGATCACGTGATGGACAACTTCTTTGTGCTGCATGTCGAAAGAAAATTTGAGTTTGGTTTATTTTTTCTAAATTTTGTGACCGTCCTCCTTTTTTCTCTTATAGTCTGAACAGCGTAACTGTTTTTCTTTCTGGGTTTCGATTCGTGTGTACTTTGATCGAAAGACGATGATCATTCTGATCATCGGCTTTCGTGGCATTCGTGAGAATTAACCCTAAGGTCGAACCACTTTGTTAGTGAGTCTAGTAGCCTCATCGCGGTCTCTTTGCATTTAGGTTTTTCTTTGAATCACTAATTTTTTTGTCAGAATTAGTTAGTGGTTTGTTTGGGTTCACTTTTTTGAGTCTGTAAATGTATTGAATCTGCTACCCCTCATTCATCCGCCTTCGTTTTCCAATAAATTCCATAAACAAAAAAAATTCCATAAAGCCTATTTTCTTCATACTCCTATTATTTTGCAATTAAATAAATTTTTATCTCTATTATTTAAAGTCAACCGTTAAAAGTTTTCTGTATACTCACCAATAAAAACAGAAAAACGGTCTTGAAAAGTAGTGCACTAAACGTTCTCACCTTGTTCAAAAAATAAAACACATGGATGCAAGATTAGGGGAAACCAGAAGAAAATAGCTGAGAAGATGTAGACCATGAAGAAACCGAGACGAGAACATCTAGATACTAGTAAAAAAAACTTCCTAGAATAAGTAAGATTCAAAATAAACAAATTTTGACAGATCTCTTCTGTATTTCTCAAAATCCCCTCGTAGAACGATTCAAGTTAGACAGACCATTGTCTATACTTTTATAAAATTGCAGAACATTTTTAGAGCATTTCCAAGATCAAAGAATTTAGATTGAATATTTTATAAAGGGTAGGCCAAAAAAGTGTTTATCTTTGCCACTATGGAAAATTTTATTGGTTGAGTTTACCCTAAAGTTGAACAGAATAAGAATTAGGTTTTCCATGGTTTTAATGAAACGTTGCATAAGTCTAAAATCCCTGAATCCCTGGGAATCCCTGAAATTCTGAAAACTTGAGAAACGGAAAAATGAAACGAGAGGAAATTTTTCAGATCCCTCCCAAAAAACCCGCATAAGTTTCCAAAAAAAGTAACGAACGAGCGTTGGGAAAATTTTCGCTCTGAGATAAGGACGCCAACTAAGCAGGCCATAAAAATTGTTTATCTTTGCCACTATGGAAAATTTTATTGGTTGAGTTTACCCTATAGTTGAACAGAATAAGAGTTAGGTTTTCCATGGTTTTAATGAAACATCGCATAAGTCTAAAAAGCGAATTACAATAATATGTTACTCGTTACTATGTTGTGTTACAATATGTTACTCAAAAATTTCCTCTCGAGATCCCTGAAATTCTGAAAACTTGAGAAACGGAAAAATGGAACGAGAGGAAATGTTTCAGATCTCTCTGAAAAAACCCGCATAAGTTTCCAAAAAAAGTAACGAACGAGCGTTGGGAAAATTTTCGCTTTATTTCCTTCAGATAAAGACACCAATTCATTGGCAATCAGAAAAGTCTTACAAGAAAATCAAGGACATACATGAATACCTTTATTTTATTGAATTTGGCAATTCTGAAATCTTTTTAAAAGTTAAATTTAGATTCGAAATAAATTGAAAATCTATCTATTAGATTGACAACTTGAAATTTGATATACTTTTTCGTGTTTTCCTTAAAACATATTTAATACGCCATTGAAAGTAGACTTCTCTAAATGAAAGTTTCTCGATATTATTTGATTTAAGACATGCTTAAGCAAATTTGGGTAACTTTTGAAACAAATTTGGCTCAAATTCGTTTCAAAAGTTACCCAAAAGCCGGACTGTCCATCATAAAACCACCGCCATGAATGTAGTAAACAACTGGGTATTTCTAAAAAATTTTGTCCTTATTATTAGATTGGCAACTTGAAAGTTGGTGCACTTTTTCGTATTTTCCATAAAACATATTCAATGCATCAATTGAATTAGACTCCTCTAAATAAAAGTTATATATTATCGAATTTAAGACATGCTTAGGCAAATTTGGGTAACTTTTGAAACGAATTTCAGCAGAGATTGAAGTTTTTCTGAAAATTCTTCAAATAGAGCTATAACAAAAACGTTTGATTAGATCTAGCTGAAAATTTGGATATTGATCTAACTTGTTATGCGCTCTCTTTTTTTTATTGACACTAAAATAGGTTTATGTGGAAGAAAGTGCTCAAATCACTTCATCGAGTGTTCATCATTTTTGGTTTCTCAACTTCTTGCCCCGTAGAAACCTACAAAACCGAAGCTTTTCTAAATCTATGAAAAACCTGTTGTAGAAGATAAATAGACATTTTTATTGGTGAAAAATGTAGATTAATTGGTGCACTAGTTATTTCTAAAAAGTGCAATCAATCAGTGTACCAACTTTCCAGTTGCAAATCTAATATTTCTTGACTTGAGTATGATTCATTTTCAGTATTTTTTATTAGCATTTGTTTAGTCGGACCACCCTTTTTGTGCTTTCAGGCTTATCTTGCAAATAAAAAATAGAAACGCAAGAAGCAAATTCTTTAGTTTTTAGAGTCTTTTTGAAAAAGTTTGAAAAAATCAATTTTGAAACTAATAACTTTGAATAAATTTTGCGAAAAACACAATTTTTGTTATTTCCCTCTTTTCGTTTTTTGATTTTCGAAACACTAGTCCTTTCAGCGTATCTCATTTCATTCTAAATATCCTTTTTTCGTCGGTTTTATTAACAGACAACTATACTTTTTATGCACAATTTCAACTCGTATTTCGGAAATAAAATGAACGTGCTTTATTTAGGATTTTTGAATTAGAAAACCTGGATAGTTGGCCCACAAAGCTTGAAAATGCGTTGTGTTAAAGAAATCTACAGGAGAAGGAACTCGAGACAAGGAACTCGAGACTTGAAGGACCAGAAACTCGAGAACGTTTTGCTAAAAGATATTAAAAGATTGGAAGCTTTGGTAAAAATAAAAATGATTTTCGGAAAAAAATTCGGTTCGCTTTAGGAAAGATTCTTTTCGGCTCATTTTATCATTGCTCGTTCGGTGTCACAAATAGGTAACAAAAATAATCGTCTTTAAAGCAAAAATTCGAACACTACAAATTTTAAGTCAGAAAAAAAAATAAAAGAGTCCAAAAACTATCATCCAAAATTTCAGAATTAAAGGCGGCGACTTTGATGTTAGTGAAATTTCATATTTCATCGAACCATAAAGTGTCATTCAATAGCTCTTATCACGCTCTTTCAGAATACTGAATTGAGTTTTTGTGGAATTCTATTTTCCCATGAGATTTTTTCAATATTAATTTCCGAAACGTCAAAATAATTTTTTTCACGAAAATCTAGCTGATAAACTAGGCTCAAAAAGCAAATTTCTGAATTCTACACAAAAAGTTAGTGGGGAACTGTTTTTTAATTTTGTGTTATCAATAAAAATATGAGAAATTGAAAAAATTCTGTAAACATTTGCATTTTTTAAAGTGAGAACAAAAAAGTAGACAAAACATTTAGTGAAACAAGTTTTCAAATTTTCAAGCTGCTTCACTAGATGAGCAAAGCTTTTCAGGAAGATCAAACAAAAACATTTAGCTGTGGTTGAGCTTGAAGAAAATGCGGAAAATCCAGCGACTCTTTTGTTACCGGGTTTTGTTTTTCATGTATGAACCATTTTTGTAGTTTTAGATATGGAAGCAGCTCCTAATGCAAATGCTTCAGCAGGCTTAGAATTGTCATATTTGAGAACTTCTTCAGGAGTTTCATTCAAATCCGCATTCTCTGCCTCAGGTTATCAAAGTTTTCAACCTTAAATAAACAGAAAAAAACCAGTTTCGTCCGCATCCACAAACGATGAATTTACGGCGGAGAGGCAATATTTGGGCTACATCAACAACTTGATGAGTTCCATTCTGAGAGTGGTAGAAGTTCACTGAAAAAGCACAGTCAATTTGAAAAAAATTTAGAAAACCATTGTGAAGCTGCGTGACAAGTATATGGCACGTTTAATTGTTCACGCTTTCTACAGGTTTAGCTTTTTTCTTTTGGGGTTCTTTATAGTTGACCGTGCAGCGCGGAAAATCTAAAAACTTTTAAGGAGGCAGCTTTAGTCAAGATGGCACTTTAGCGCACTTTTTTATTTTACTCTATAACTCGTCTTCCAATAATCAGAACGACTTAGGGTTGGTTTCAAAGTGATCCTCATTCAATTTGGTTATAAAAAAGTACAATTTCTTTTGTATAATCAAAGAGAAAATTTGTATCAAAGTTGAACTACTTATATACAGAAGTCAATCAAGTTCAATATTTGATAACACGAGGTATAAAAATTGCATCGACTTGTAATTGCTTTTAAAAGAATCCTCATTAAATTTGACTAAAGAAAAGTGGAATTTGTTTTGTATACTCATTAATAAAGAAATAGAGAAAAGCCGTCTTGAAAAGTAGTGCGCTATAGTACCATTTTGACTATACTTTCAACTTTTGCAGGTAAGTAGTTCAACTTTGATACAAATTTTCTCTATGTTCTTACACATGAGTATACAAGATCGATTGTACTTTTCTATTGCCAAATTTCATGACGATTCTTTTAAAACCAACCGTAAGTCGATCCGATCACTGGGAGTCGAATTATAGAGTAAAATAGTGAAGTGCGCTAAAGTGTCATTTTGATGGTCTCATTGGTCTTTATGTCAAAAATATACGAGTAGCTATTTGCTTTGCATTGCAAACATTTTCAACTCCAATCAACCAATCTTTATTGATCAATTGCATAGTGAGAGAATTACTGTAGACAAATCCCTTGTCCTTTCAGAGTTGACAAGTGTAAAGAATTGTGGAGAAGATGCGAGTCGCCTCTCATGGCCGCGTTGCTTGTCGAGTGTATTTCCAAAAAACTCATCGAAAAATTCGATGAACGGTACGATATTCGAATGGCAACGCTTTTCAAGGCACAAAAAAGGTTTCTAAGTGAAATTTCTAATCAAGCACAAAAATTTAGCAACTTTTCTAATTTGGCTTACCGGCTACTCGAAAGGTGCAATGCCCGGGATTACGAGCAAGCTCGAGCGTTGATCAATGAGCAGTATTTGGTAAAGCAAACAAAAAAAGAAAGCTGCAGCACGTTGATTGAAATGGCACACGAATGCAAAGATGAAGTAAGGCTATCAATTAGGGAGGAAAAGCAGAAAAATCCTCTAGAATTTCCTCGGCCATGTTTTGTGTCAAGATGCTATGAACGATCGTTGGAAACCAGGGTTTCGGTATTTTTTTCAAAATCATAGATTAAAAGCAAAAGCTTTAATTTGTCGAGATAAATGTGAAGAAAAAAGAATTTTTTTAGTAGCTTTGACTTTTTTAATAAGAGAAAAGTTGTAATTCGCTTTTTAGACTTATGCGACGTTTCATTAAAACCACGGAAAACCTAATTCTTCATCTGTTCAACTATAGGGTAAACTCAACCAATAAAATTTTCCATAGTGGCAAAGGTAAACACTTTTTTGGCCTACCCTGTATAAAATATTCAGTCTAAATTCTTTGATCTCGAAAATGCTCTAAGAATGTTATGCAATTTTATAAAAAGTATCGACAATGGTCTGTCTAACTTGAATCATTCTACAAGGGAACTTTGAGAAATACATAAGAGATTCGTTAAACTTTGTTTATTTTGAAACTTACTTTTTCTAGGAAGTTTCTTTACTGGTATTTAGATGTTCTCGTCTCGGTTTCTTCATGGTCTACATCTTCTCATCAATTTTTTTCTGGTTGCCCCTAATCTTGCATCCATGTGGTTTCTTTTTTGAACAAGGTGAGAAACATACACATAAAACACTCAAAATTTCTGCTCAGAAATCTCGATGAATGACGAAAATGAAGAAGAAAATCAAAGCTGGCTTGAGCGTCTCAAAAAGTACTGGGTGAAACAGATCAAAAATGGTCCCCACAGATGGTGGTGTTTTGTGACATCACCATGTTTTCGTTTCGCGCTTTATATGGTTCGTCTTTTGGCATCTTTCCTTCAAAAAACATATTTCAAATTAGACGGGTTATGTGACCTACTTGAGTTATTTCATCTGGCTACTATTGGGCATTCATGAAGTGAAAAACTTACAAGGAGAATTGACACGAAAGCGTTGGATGTTATTTTCTTTGTGAGTAAAAAGCTTTGTTATAACCAGCTAAAGACAATGCCTGAAATGTGACTTTCGCCGAATTTTTAGATGGCAAATGTTTTACCTTGTTGACATCTTTTGCCAATATCTTTCCTTTTCGCAGCGAAAACGGCTAAGTAAGCCAGGATCACACGCCAATGTGAAGTTTTCTCGATTAGTAGAAAAGAATATAATCATTTAAAGGGTCTCTATAAGTTCTTTTGGAAAGATCGCGCCTACACGACGCTCATGTTGGGTTTAATGGTCGTCAGCTATCTGTTCGTCTGCTTGGTTCTGCTACTTTCTTCCATGGATTTCTTGAGGTTTTGTACTTTTGCATTTAAACGTTGAAAGTTATAATTTAGTTTCGGTTCGGAAAGCAAGAAACTAGCGGCGATTTTCGAGTAACAAATCTAAAAGCCTATTTCATTTGAATAATTTTATTTTAGAATTATCAAGTTCTATGCACTGCTTTTTTACGAAGTTTTCTTTTTCCTCAATTTTATCTTTGCCGCTTTGTGGACGTTACGCGTTTTGACGGTTTTCCCAAAACTGAGCGCAATTGTTATGACAATCAAGAAAATGGTCAGTTTACCTCTTTGTAAAAGAATTTATAAAAATAGCAAATTCTGGGTTTTGTGTTTGAAATTAATGCTTTACGATTAGCAAAAAGCAAAAAACTTCTCCTCAAACGGGCACAGGAATGTTCGGACTCAAAGTTATATAACGATTAAAATAATCGTTTTTTCGACATAAATTAAATTAAATTTAAGCTTGAGTTATCAGCGAATTTCTTGCTGGTCTCTTTGTTCTTCTGGGTCGCATATGGTTTATGCCAGGTTTCCCCCCCCCCCTCTTTTTTCATTTATATGTTTTTCTTCTCCAGGTTTCCCTACGTGGAATCAATAGCGAAAGCAGCATACAATGGTCACTTTTTTCGTATGTTTTACGGTAAAAACAATCGATAAGCAGACTTTTCGCCTTTAGAAATGGAGCCTTCGAGATCTTTGGCGAATTAGACGAAAAAGTCAAAAATGGTACACCAGTTTGGAAAGTTTATACCTAGTTAAGCTTGGCAATCAGTAATTATTAAGTTGATAATAACGTAATAAGTAAATAAGAAAGCAGGGCTGGAAGAAAAGCCAAAAGCCATGGTCCTGATTTGGCCCAGCCAGGCCAAGGCCAAGCCAAAAGCCAGTCAGATGGCCTGGCCTGACCCTGGCCTGGCCTGACCCTGGCCTGGCCTGGAAAATTGTCTCTCGTTCAGCCCTGATAAGAAGGCAAGGATTATGGAATTTTTGCAGGACTATTCGAAGTTATTTGATTATGTCGCAAGCTAGAAATTCAGGCGAAGTGAACTGCACGATGCCCTTATCGTGGATCACCTTCCAAGCAAACGAACTTCAGGTAACTAACTATTTATTCGAATTTTAGAAAAAAAAACGCCCATGCAAACAATAAATTTAGTGCGCCTTTCGGCAATGGATGATCCCAGTGTTTCTCTTTTTGTACACGATCATCACAAGTGTCCTCATTGTCAATATTCTCACCGTTTTAATCGGGTCAGTGTCAGTTTTTTTCAGCAACCATCAAGCACATCTGTACTCAATAATTCAATAATAATGTGTGTTCCTCGTGAGTAATAGTAAGATATATGAAACGGATTACGACTGAATAACTTTAAAGTTATAAACAAGATTTTCAAGATACTCAGTTTTTTTTCTACCGTAACCCGTTTTCTATATTGCACTATTACTCACGAGGAACACGAGGACTCTAGTCAGTACTACAAAAAAGTCGTATCAACGGAACAATGGAGAATTCTTTGGTATGAGAGAATTGTCGACAACGAGGACAAGCTGTTTTTTCCGCCTCCACTCACGCTGCTCAACATTTTCATCTATGTTCCTCTTTGGTTAGTGCAAAAAAACACATGGAGTTTTGCTCGTTTTAAAGTCATTTTCCTTTTTCGGTTTTTTTGCAAAGTTTCAGTTTCAAGTCTCTTTTTGCTTTAAAAACAAAGTTTCAAGTTTCTAACTACAACAACTAATTCTGGAAAAGCTTTTTCCTAAAAATGCTCAAAAACTTTTTACAGGCTCTATAGAAAGCGTTACTGTTCACCAAAGAAACGACCCGACACTGACACAACGCCCTTTTCAATATATTGGTAATTTTTATAGAGCTTGAAAAAATCTCAATTTTAGCCGCGAGGGATATGAAGCTTTGGATCCCAACTTTAAGACTGAGATTTCGAAACGTCGAGCATTCGAACAAGAAGCCAGAAATCTGTTGCTTAAAAACATAGAAAGCGTTCACCCGACACTGACACAACACCCTTTTACATATATTGGTAATTTTTATAGAGCTTGAAAAAATTATTAATTTTAGCCGTGAAACAAGCAATGAAGCAAGAGATGAAGCAAGCAAACGGTGAAGCAAGCAACGAAGCAGGCGCTTTGGATCCCAACTCTAAGATTGAGGCTTCGCGGAAGGAACCTTGAGAATTCAAACGAGAAGCCAGAAATTTGTTGCTTAAAAGCTCAGAATCTATAACCAAAAGATCAAGGACTCTCAGTTCTTAAAGGCAAAATTTTTTTTGTTATTTTTTAACTCTACATACGAGCAAAAGCTATATGATAAAAGAATAATTTTTTTAGTTTTTATAAGCATTTTGCAAAGTTCTTCAATTCGACGGTAACTTTCTAATATTATATTTATTATTGGATGCTTCAAAGTGATCTTATTTTCAAGTCTTTAAGCGGTTTTATTGGGCGTTAATGGTCAAAAATTTTCAGTTTTTTGTTTGTTTTTAGCGAATCGTAAATCGTTGTATTTCCTTCCACTACTTATGGACTCATGGCATCGTTTTGTTTTCAGATAAATTCATACTCTGTACACTTTATTGGCTTTTCTATATTCGAAAAAAAAGTTAATGACAGAACGTATTTGATTGCATTTTCTTGTAAAGATTTTTCAAAATACATCTCCTTCTCATCAAAACTACGAGAAGAGAAATAAAGTACCCATAAAAATAAAGTCGTTCATGCAAATAAAAGATAAGTTTTTTCGGATTAACTTTGAGTGATTTATCGAAATTCAAAACCAAATACTGATCGTCTTTCTTATTAATCATCCTCCTCGACTTCTCAAGCACAACAGATTGCCCTGTCTCATCGAGATTATCGTGAATCGCTTTATTCGATTGATCGACAAAGTTTATAAATACACATCTCAAACAGAAAATCCCAAAAATGGACGCTCTTTTGTGTAAAGTGTTCATTGTTATCGACGGGAAGCCGGATCGTTGCCGGATCGGCCGAGCTGAAAAGATTCAATCATTTTATTGATGAACTCGTCGTCGAACCTCGCGAGTAAACCCTTAACAAAAAGCCAGACGGGGCCATCGGACACTACATTTTGTTGCACGGCGATTTTAAAACAGAAAAACTCAACGTCTATGACTCGAATAAGGGATTAATAACAACTAGTTGTATTACTTTATATAGCCACCTCAAGGGCCGTGTGAGTTATCAAAAGAAACCTGTCAAACATTTAACGAATTTTTGACAAGATTACAAATGGAGAAGAGAGGCCGCTTATTCCCAAGTTTCAATGAAAGCGATTTTCAGGAAATTTATGTTTTCAGTTATGAGCCCTGTGATCAGCAGAACGATGGCATTGCCTGTGGGTTGTTCTTTTCGGTGTTTGCCGAACGTATTCTGTCAGGGGGAAAAAAAAGAACTATTCATTTCTGTGACATCGACTCTTATTGCCAACATCCATACGAAAAATTTGTTGAAAATTCTTTGCTTATCGGCATCGAACGGATGTGCCAACACAAAAGTAGTTGAAAGTATTGGGTTGGTGAATTGAAAACTGCCGGACTTTGAACTAAAATTTATTCAACATAAAACCATCAATTCATTCGAAATAATTTCCATTATTATTGACGATTTCTGCCCATTTTACAGGCAATTTGCGGATTCCTCTTTCGTGGTAGGATTTTGGTTTGTGTGTGAGACAAGTGTGAGACTCAAAAATGGAGGACTGGAGATGTCCCAGTTTGAGCACTTTCTTCAAAAGAAACCCATTTTGTTGTCAATAGAAAAGTTGTAGAGAATCGAAAATCAAGCTTATATCCGAATTTCCAAAAAGATACACTTAGTAGTTTTGCTTTAAATGCAAGCTTTGTGAAAATTCGTGAATTTGGCATTTATTGAAAACCAGTTTTTGAATCGTTTTGAAAACTTGGATATAAGCTTTAGTTTTGATTCTCTACAACTTTTCCATTGACACCAAAATAGGTTTCTTTTGAAGAAAGTGCTCAAACGGTCACATATGACAATAGCCGGCAGTTTTCAATTCACCAACCCAATCGTTTAGTTAGACAAAAAAATTTCATATAACGAAAAGCGTTTTGGAAACGGAAAAATGTTTTGGTCCTTTCATTTTGTTACATCGAGAGTTATATAGAAAACTTTTCGTTAAATTACCAACAAATTTTCGAAAAGGATGTGCAAATTCAGCAATTCACCAAATTCAGAAACAAAAGTTGCGGAGAAGAACGAAAAGTTGAAAGAAAAATAGTTAAATGTTTAAAAACGCTTGAAAGAAAGCAACTAAAACAATCAGGCGATTTCATAATTCGGATTCTCATATCCCTTGTCTTTCATGAGCATCTTTGCCGCTTGAAGTGCTAAAAAATTAATAAAAACTGAAAATGAAAACATTTTTTAAGAAATCGAAAAACTCGATTCTAATTTCAGAAATTTACCTTCGAATTCCTGTTTACTCAAATGGGTGAATCTTTCGAAGTCATCGCGCAGAGTTTTGTTACGTGCTTCTTGCTAAAATTGGAAATTTCGGCTCTTTCCCTGGATCGTGGTCTTTTGCAATTTTTGGTTTTTTTTATTAAGAAGTCTTTTAAAATTGTTTTAATGTATTTTATTAAGTTCCACATACACCAGTTTATTTAATCAGAATTTAAAGAACAATCTTAGGGAAGGGAATAAGCAACCTCCATGCGACCCAACAAATGCTGAGATATTGAGCATGATATTAGCTGCATATGCAAAAGATGTCTTTGGTTTACCCTTCTGCTAAAATTGTTGTTCCTACGATTGTTCTTTAAATGCTGATCAAATAAACAGGTGTATGTGGAACTTAACAAAATCCGTTAAAACAATTTCAAAAGACTTTTTGGTAAAAAAAAACAAAGAATTGCAAAAGACCACGAAACGGATTCTTTTTGATAAAAGACCATAAAAACTTTTAAAAGACTACGAAGTGCGAAAAAATTGAAAAATAAAAAACTGAAAATGAAAACATTTTTTAAGGAACCGAGACCACGAAACTTTTAAAAGACCACGATTCAGGGAAAGAACCGGAATTTCTTTTTGGGTGTTTTTTTAGACTCACCCAACAGCAATTGCACAAAAGACAGCAAAAAGCAAAAAGAAGAAGAAATCCGACAGAAATGAAGATCAATGCCCTGAAGATCCATGGGAAGACACAGTGGTAATCGTCGGTGTTAAGGCCACCACTCTGACAATTCGGATTTTCAGATCCCCAGAGATGAGGCTCAGTTCTGAAAATGTCGTAATTGGATTTATGGAATTTGTTTAATCAAGAACCGCTTAGTGGCTTGGGTTAATAGATCAAAAATGATTGAAGACATTTGAAGTGAAGTTTGCCAGCAATTTGGTAAACTTATTTGGTAAACCCTGAGAACTTGGTAAGGGGAAAACCGTAACCATTTTTGGATTCAGTTTTTCACTGCCTAACCTCATTAAAATCTGATTTTAATTGTTTATTTCTAAGTGTGTTTAAACTGAAAGTTAAGCCTATCTTAAAACCATCGTTTATGAGTAGCCTAGGTCATATTATAGAATAATTGTAGAATTAGACATTTCTAAACTTTTTCATACCCATTCAATACCCATTCACTTTTTTAAATACCTATTTTTTATATATTCTTTTTGTTCATTTACTTTTAACTCAATTTCAATCTTATTAGGTTGATGCATAAGTCTTTTCGTTTTTTTCGTACTTCTGTTAAAAAGTAACAAATGCACCAATTGAACTACGGTTGATTTCATTAGAAAAACCAATTATTTTTCTGCAAAATAACATTAAAACGGGTTTAAAAATATTTAATGCCTGGATTTTCTTGAGAGTATGAAGTCGGGTAGTCAAAAAGGGCTAACTCGATGATGCGGTTTAGACACCTTAGCTAAAGAAAACCTATCTTCGTGTCAATAGATAAAAGATAGAGAAAAAAAAGTTTGATATTTCGCCAAAATTTCAGAGAAATTCATTCAGCCAATTTTTCCGTAGAGTTTTTTATAGATTTTTACGAAAAAGGCGTTTTTCACTTTCGAATTTGCTTGAAAGTGAACCGAAATTGATTTAAAAAGATGCAAATTGAACAAAAAAACACTTTTTTTATAGAGCAAACTATAGATTAATTGGTGAATTTGTTACTTTTTAACAGAAGTACGAAAAAAACGAAAAGAATTATGCATCAACCTAATATCTTCAATTTATCAAGTTCAATCAAACCTCGGGGCTGATGCTTGGTGGCGATCAGCTGCAACTTGTACGACCAAAATAACAATCACTTTCCAAAGCATTCCTTGAAAGGAAATTCGTTCTTTTTCTTTCTGTAAGCATTTTTTTTCTAAATAATCAATAGTTAATCAAAGAATTGAAGAGCCTTTACTCCACATCTTGCTTTAGAAAAAAAGTTTTGAGAAAAAGTTTCTTGCTCATAAGGATTACAAATAGTGAACGTCAGGGACATAAAAAAAACAAAAATCGGTTTCAAATTAAAAATTGAGATATTAAACTCGTTGATAGCCGTTTCGAATCGGTGCTCTATTTCGGCTCATCGACATCGCCGTTTCAAGAACTAAATTCGTCCATTTTTAAAAGAATGTGAAAGTTTTACTTAGAAAAAAAGCATATTATAGCAGCAAATAGCATTAAAAGGACAAGCCTTGTTTTTTTTACAAATTATGTTTTTATTATTTCGCAGTTCTTAAAACTTTAAAACCTTTCCGCTCTTCGGGTGTCATGAACGAAAGCCGCTGATAGTATCGAATTTGCTGCTGGTTCTCATTTACGCACTGAAATTTCAAAGAGATTACAAGATTGCAATAAAAAACACGATAAATATTTGCAAATTACCTGTTTAAGTATAAATTTATTAAATAAGTAATAAAGTGGTAAGCATAAGCTTATAAAAGGTTCATCAAATAAAAAAAATCACTCTAAAGCTAAGCCTATATTCATTTAGTTGAACACTTTTTCTTATATTTTCAATTGTTCTTTATTAGTAGATCCTTAACTTTATATTATTCATTTTGCAAATTGACGAAAAACAATGATAAGCTCTACATTTGTATTTGTAAATAAATCTTATTAAGGCGGTAATGATGAAACCAACGTTTGATGTCTAACGAGCTTATTCAATAAAAAAATAACAGTTACATATTCAATGATGGAAATATTCTCTATTAACTTTCTTTTTCCACTTTTTCTTCAAATCTCGGAGTCCCTGCTCAAAAAACGATTGTGGCTGCCCGTAGAAATAATCATCGACCCATATTCGGATTTCATCAATGTTGTTTGAACTTTTTGCCCTCCAAGTAATGTTGTATTGGCCGAAAAAGATGATAATCTGAAGGAGCCAAGTCAGGGAATATGGCGGATAAGGGAGGGCTTCCCATTCCAATTCCTCAAGTTTTTTTTTGCGTCTTCTTTGCGATATACCGTCGGGCTTTGTCTTGAAGGTAGAGGATGAACATATGCCTTTTTGCTGCAAAGCCTGGTCGACTTGTTCCAGTTATTCGACATAGACATCGGATGTCACAGTTTTCCCTTCTTCACGGATCTATTCGATAATCTTACCAGGGAATTTTGTCAAGTCAAGATTGAGTTTTCACAAGCGCTTTGGCCCATCTGATAGAATTTTCATCAAGGGTTCCAGTGAATGCAGTTTCAGAATCACCGATGAAAAGTCTATCAGATGGGCCAAGGCTCTTGTCAAAACTCGCCCTTGACTTGACAAAATTCCCTATTTAAAACCTCACTTAAACTAATTGTAAAAAAAGTGTCATAAAGAATATCTAGATAATCTTTTTGATGACCATATATTTTGTACCTTTGATTATAATACTTTTATCAACACTTGTTCAAGATAAGGAAACAAGTAAGTATTTAAAACTTCTATTTATACGGTTTCCTTTTCAGACAAAGTTTTATCCAATGCAATAATAATAACTACTTTGCATTCCTCCGGCAATTGTCTCATCGTTCTTTTTGTGACAAAATACTATCGAGATCTTTTCATTAAACTTTATCAGGTAAGTGAATAGAAAAAGAAAGAGACATTGACAACAATATGATTAGATTATTTCGTTTTCAGCGTTTCAAAAAACGATTCATATCACGAATTGGAGATTCCACTGCGTTTCGCAACGAAAGCATCTTGAGCTTTTGCGTCAGTAATCAAATAAATCACTTTCTGAAAATCCAATCGATTTTGGCTATTCACCATTTTGAACATATATTGAACATACATTGCAATATTTTGCATGATTTTTCAAGAAGAAAAAGGAAACTGATGATTTTCCAATTAGAGATAAACTTTAGAGTGAAACGGTAAAACTAGAAAGAAAGATTTCACGTGAAAATCGAAAATCGAGAATCAGAAATCTCAAATAACTGTCTATGAATCGACAATCAACAATCATTTTCATTTTCAAACTTTAGTTTATGAATCGAAGTGGACGTCTTTTGTTGAGAACTCGGAGAGGAGCTCATTTCTGTAGTGCTTTGTCCACGAATTGAGTTGCATCATTCATTGCTGATTTTGTGGCACATTCTTTGTGATTTTTTTGTGATTACACAATGATTTTGTGGCTGTGATTAGTAGGACTTTCTAACTGCAGCGCGCCTCCATCAGTGTTGCTCATCTCTCACGATACAAAAGGAAATCTTTTCTTTCTCGAATTGTGATAGGAGATGAGAAATGGGTTTTATCTGTGAACTTTCAAAGGAAGTGGCAATGGGTGGGGCCAGGCGAGAAACCCGAATGTGACCCCAAGCCCGATTTGCATCAGAAGAAGTTTATGCCCTGCGTTTTCTGGGATATGGAGGGAGTGGTGTACTGGGAGTTGCTGGATAGCAAGACGACCCTTAATGCAATCAAATACAGTGAACAGTTGGGAAAGGTGAATGAATCCCTGAAGAAGAATAGGCCCTCCAAATCAAAGATCGTTCTCATCCACGACAACGCGCGCCCTCATGTGGCAAAACTGACTCGCTCTAAAATAAATAGCCTTGTTTGGGAACTTTTGGCACATCCCCCATACAGTCCGGATCTTGCCCCTTCTGATTACTATCTATTCCGGACCATGAGTAATGAGCTTGCGGGTGAACACTTCGATTCGGAAGAAGCAGTCAAAAATTAGCTTTGAAAGTTTTTCGATTTAAAACCAAAACCATACTACGAAAGAGGAATCGCTGTATTGCCGCAAATTGCCTGTAAAATGGGCAGAAGTCATCAATAATAATGGAAATTATTTGGAATGAATTTATGGTTTTATGTTGAATAAGTTTTAGTTCAAAGTCCCACAGTTTTCAATTCATCAATCCAATATTTTCAAATTACAGGGTGACCAAGAATTAAACCTTTTCTTAACAATTTTTAATAGAGAAAAGTGGCTAAATGACAGATTCGCCTGAGAGATGTCGACTAGCGCTCATTCAAACGCTTGTTAAATGAGTTGTATAAGTCCAATTGGGATGTTTTTGGTAGAAAAATGTTGTCGAGAATTAGGCCTACAATTCTCTGTATAACACTTGCCACTTTTGAAATAAATTAGACATTTCCCAGATAATTGTCCAAAAAGTTGTTGCGGTAATTCTTGGTCACCCTGTACAATAGCCGACTTTAACCCTAGGCTTTGTAGCTCAATAGAGGATTAATCAAAGAGTTACAGTATCTTTTTTAAGCACTTTCTAGCAAGTGTCTCAGTACAGGTGAATTGAAGCTATCAATCAATTAGAACAAGGTCAAACATAATTATAAAATACTCCTTTTTTCAGTGGCACATCTACCGAGCCTTTTCCCCGGGCGTCTGGATTTTCGAATCCGCCTATTTCACCTACAAGTTCAACCTTGGTGCCAATTTGTAAGCAAAGAGAAAGAGTTATTAAATTCTTTTGATTAGACTGATGTTCACCCAAACTACTGTAATCGATATGGAAAACACGAGACATTTCTATGAGAACAGCGTTGTTGATTTCTTTTGTTGAGTGGATTTCTTTTGTTGAGTGGATTTCTTTTGTTGAGAACTCGGAGAGGAGCTCATTTCTGTCGTGCTTTGTCCACGAATTGAGTTGCATCATTCATTGCTGATTTTGTGGCACATTCTTTGTGATTTTTTTGTGATTACACAATGATTTTGTGGCTGTGATTAGTAGGACTTTCTAACTGCAGACAGGCAATCATGAAATGGCATCTAAATGGTAAGTGAAAGTGAAATGAAAGCAAAAATTAAGAGAATACTCCGAGTGCTATATATCATTTGAAAGCTTTTTAATTTAAAGCTCAAAAGTTGCAGTGTCGACCAAAAATCCCAAAATACCGTATTCTCTCTATTAGAATTGCGCCATACTATTTTTTCAACCCTCTCCTGAACCGCAAGACTATTAGAGAGTGCAATTCTAATAGAGAGAATACGGTATATTGTATTATTTCTTATTATTGTCATGATTTATCACCCCGAATTTCTCGTAAAACGTTTACGAGCGATTTATTGGTTTTTATGAAAATGTTTTTGATTTATTTTGTCATTTTATAAGTTTTGCTGTGCTTTTTGGTGATTTTATATAATTTTTTATTATTTTTAGATCAAGAAGTTTAAATTTTGAGCAAGACAATGGTTTTGAAAACTAAACGGTGACAGAAACTAGAAGACTGAGCTTCAGCAAGGAAAAAAAACTTGAATGGATTGGTCAAGAATAGAATATGTTCCTCTTGAGTAATTTGTTTTCGAAAAGGGATCTATTTCAGAAAGCGACCGTAGTCAAACTACCGTAGCCACCGTAGTTACATCCGATTAGCTCAATTTTGATATCATTGACTGAGCTTTGTGATTTCTCAAGAGGAACACGCTCTAATCAAGTATCTACAAGTATAATGAAAATACAAGATATAATTTATTGAACACAAGAAAAGAATAATTGTAGAGACTGCAGAATAAATTCAGAAACAGCATAGCCGATTCTTGGAGATGCACTCGGTCACGAAACAATTCTGAACTTCGAGCTGGTTCCATTCCCTTGTAAGCAATGTCAAGCAATCTCTCGTGCAAAAATTACACTCAATGGAACCGGGAATTTTCATACAATGTTTGTAAGCCTTCACCGAAAAGACGATAAAAATGCTCAATAAAGTTGCTTCACTAGAATCTTTCAATTTCATCATTCATCAATTCAATTTCGATCTCGATTTGTTAGATCACTCAAAATCAAATATTAGAAAGACCATCTTCGAGTGTATAACGAGAGCATTGATTGCACGAGGCAGGGCAAAAGCTTTTTATAAAACTCAGTTCCAAAA